CCCTTAAAAGGATTTTACAAGGAAGGAGTCTCCACCTTTCCCATATGATAGACAAATAAGTGATTGGATGATAGGCGCAGGGAGGGTTAATCAGATTAAAACAGCCCACCAACAAACCCATAAAAAACCCCTAGACTTAGAAACTTTGATGGCAACCCTTTTGGGTCCCCTCCCTCTTTGGGAGCTTTGTACTATCACTTTACCATTGCTCAATAAACTTTGCTTTGCTGCCCTCCCAAATCCCCACTAATGCAAAGGGATATACCTCTATAGATATACATCTATAGATGTACCTCTATATTTATAACAGCATTATTTATAATAGCCAAGATATGGAAGCAACCCAAGTGTCCATCATTGATGAATGGATAAAGAGGTTGTGCCCACACACACACACACACACACACACACACACACACACACACACACACACTGGGATATTATTCAGCCATAAAAAAAGAATGAAATCTTGCTATTTGCAAAGATATGGAGCTAGAGAGTATAATGCTAAGGGGAATAAGCCAGTCAGAGAAAAATACTGTATGATTTCACTCATATGTGGAATTTAAGAAACAAAACAAATGAACAAAGGGGAAAAAAGGAGAGAGAGACAAATTAAGAAACAGACTCTTAACTATAGAGAACATAGTGATGGTTACCAGAGGGGAGAGAGTAGGGGGAGGTGTGTAATAGGTGATGGGGACTAAGGAATGCACTTGTTGTGATGAGCAACAGGTGTTGTATGGAATTTTTAAATCACTATATCCTATACCTGAAACTAATATAACACTATGTTAACTAGAATTAAAATAAAAACTTAAAATTTAAAAAAGTTTAAATAATTTCTTTGTAAATGTTCTTTCTACACCCAGAATAGTCTACTTAATTTCTTTTAAAAAATAAAATTTTAGTTCTAGTAAAAATAAAACCTATATTTCATTGGCCTTATTATAGCTCTTTTAAATATCAACTTGCTAAACATTGATGAAAGATTTTCAATCTGGAGAATTTATTCTTTAGCTCTGGAAATAGTCTTATATTGTTTCTTTTTTTTTTTTTTTAAGACTTTATTTATTTATTTGACAGAGAGAGAAATCACAAGTAAGCAGAGAGGCAGGCAGAGAGAGAGAGGAAAGCAGGCTCCCCACCGAGCAGAGACCCCGATGTGGGCCTCGATTCCAGGACCCTGAGATCATGACCTGAGCTGAAGGCAGAGGTTTAACCCACTGAGCCACCCAGGTGCCCTTACATTGTTTCTTTGATAATTTCCCTTTTCATATTTTTGTTCTCTCTGGAATAAAGTCATATAGGTTAGATATTAAAACTTCTTGGGACGCCTGGGTGGCTCAGTTGGTTAAGCAGCTGCCTTCGGCTCGGGTCATGATCCCAGCGTCCTGGGATCGAGTCCCACATCGGGCTCCTCACACACACACACACACACACACACACACACACACACACACACACACACTGGGATATTATTCAGCCATAAAAAAAGAATGAAATCTTGCTATTTGCAAAGATATGGAGCTAGAGAGTATAATGCTAAGGGGAATAAGCCAGTCAGAGAAAAATACTGTATGATTTCACTCATATGTGGAATTTAAGAAACAAAACAAATGAACAAAGGGGAAAAAAGGAGAGAGAGACAAATTAAGAAACAGACTCTTAACTATAGAGAACATAGTGATGGTTACCAGAGGGGAGAGAGTAGGGGGAGGTGTGTAATAGGTGATGGGGACTAAGGAATGCACTTGTTGTGATGAGCAACAGGTGTTGTATGGAATTTTTAAATCACTATATCCTATACCTGAAACTAATATAACACTATGTTAACTAGAATTAAAATAAAAACTTAAAATTTAAAAAAGTTTAAATAATTTCTTTGTAAATGTTCTTTCTACACCCAGAATAGTCTACTTAATTTCTTTTAAAAAATAAAATTTTAGTTCTAGTAAAAATAAAACCTATATTTCATTGGCCTTATTATAGCTCTTTTAAATATCAACTTGCTAAACATTGATGAAAGATTTTCAATCTGGAGAATTTATTCTTTAGCTCTGGAAATAGTCTTATATTGTTTCTTTTTTTTTTTTTTTAAGACTTTATTTATTTATTTGACAGAGAGAGAAATCACAAGTAAGCAGAGAGGCAGGCAGAGAGAGAGAGGAAAGCAGGCTCCCCACCGAGCAGAGACCCCGATGTGGGCCTCGATTCCAGGACCCTGAGATCATGACCTGAGCTGAAGGCAGAGGTTTAACCCACTGAGCCACCCAGGTGCCCTTACATTGTTTCTTTGATAATTTCCCTTTTCATATTTTTGTTCTCTCTGGAATAAAGTCATATAGGTTAGATATTAAAACTTCTTGGGACGCCTGGGTGGCTCAGTTGGTTAAGCAGCTGCCTTCGGCTCGGGTCATGATCCCAGCGTCCTGGGATCGAGTCCCACATCGGGCTCCTTGCTCATCAGGGAGCCTGCTTCTCCCTCTGCCTCTGCCTGCCATTCTGTCTGCCTGTGCTTGCTCTCTCTCCTTCTCTCTCTCTCTGACAAATAAATAAATAAAATCTTTAAAAAAAAAAAAAAAAAAAACTTCTGGATTGGGGTGCCTGATGGCTCAGTCAGTAAAGTGGCTGACTCTTGGTTTCAGATCATGTCATGATCTCAGGGTGGTGAGACTGAGCCCAACAATGGGCTCAGTGTGTAGTCTGCTTATCCATCTCCCTTTCCCTCCGCCCCTCCTCTTACATGCCCTTTCTCTCAAATAAATAAAATCTTTAAAAACAAATAAATAAAATGTCTGGATTGATCTCTATATCTCTTTATTCTTCATATTTTTTATCTTCTACTTTCTGAAAGATTTTCTTCCAACCTATTATTGATCTGTTCAAATTTTGGAAATCATGTATTTGTTTTTCAAGAGTTCTATTTTGTTTTTTGAGTAGGCTTTTGAATAGCATCTTTGTCTTATTTTATGGATGCAATACCTTTTCAAATCTCTATGGAAATATTTTCAAATCTCTGCATCACCCCTGTTTAAACTTCTATAAAGCCTTTTTAAAAAATTTTGGTCTTTCTCTCATTATATTGAAGGCATCCCATGTATTAAGTATGGGAAACTCTGTGCACTGAAAAGCTGATTGGGCATTCTGTATACATGAGCAATGTTTGCCAACTGTGAGGTTGGCTATAATTAAATACTAAGTTAGACATTATGATGTGGAAACTCCCAACTCTCAAAACCTGGAGGTCTTTTTTCTGATATCACTCTTTAAAAAAAAATTTTTTTTTTTGGCCTGGAATAATATCTTGTTGCTGAATGGTCAGTCAGCAAAGGTGTGTGTACATGTGGTTTTATGTATTTATTTATTTATTTGTTTGTTGGGGGTCTTTATTCAGACGTTTAATCCCTGCTGATTTTAGTCCCTCATTTCCATCCTTCCATCTGTATCCTGTGTATCAACATTCCAAGGTTCAGTTTTATCCTGTTGCATCAGTTACCACTGTAAAATGAAAACCACAGGCCCCAAATAGGCATCACTTGGGCCAGGCTGAGTCACCAAACTGGGGCTTAATAACCTAACCTAACTGCAGATTCAACCTCCCCCAGAAATAGGTCTTAACTTGTCAATCAGAAATTTTCTGAACAGCACCAATGATGTAATTTGTCACACAGGCCCTCTCCATTCCCCAAAGGAAAATTAAATAATCCACTTAAAAAGGTCCCCTTCCCTTCTTAAGGGAGGGCAACTTAGCCTGAAATGATCCTTTGTTCTCTTTCGCTAATAATTTTCTTGCCCCATTCTCCCTTCATTTTTTTTTAAATTGAAGTATAGTTAATACGCAATGTTACATGAGTTTCAGGTGTACAGCATAGTGAATCAACAGTTCTATCCATTATAATATGCTCACCACAAGTGTGGCTACCATCTATCCTCATACAATGCTATTGTGATATCATTGACTATATTCTCTATGCTATGCCTTTTATTCCTATAACTTATTCATTCCATAATAGGAAGCCTCTATCTCCCATTCCCTATACCCATTTTGCCCATCCCTATCCCATCCTCCTTTCCATAGAAAGCTTTCATTTTGTAAAACTCCTTGAAACTCCCCTTTACTTGGTAGATGGGAGGCTGCCCAATTCATGAATCACTTAATAAAGCCAATCAGATCTTCAAATTTACTCAGCTGAATTTTGTTAACACCACTCATCTTCCATCTATATTCCATCTTGCAGAATTTTGTTGAAATCTCTCACCCTTTGATGGATTCGCCTGTTCTTGTTATGGGTTTATATGTTCTTTTTATTCCTTTACCATCATTTTGGTGGAGTCTTGAGGAAAGAAATAAATGTACTCAATTTACCACCTTTAATCAGACTGCTTAATTTCAAAAGTGTTTGTGTTACAAACTCCCCTCCCATCCCTGTATATTTGGTCTTGTGAGTAGTTGTAATTTTCTAGAAGAATAGAGAAGTGTTTCTGTATATGATGGGAGTAAGGTTCACCTATCCTTGGGTGGGTTAAAGTGTCCTACTGAATAATCTGGACCAGAGAAGAGAACTAAAGATACTTCAGGTGCTGAGATAAACTCTCCCTTCATGACTTCAGAACTCTGGTTACTCATTTACAACTGGAATAAGATAAATGTTCAGTATAATAGAGAAGTTCTATAAACCACTTGTAACGTTAAGTTTTTAATTCTACTACCAAACCATGTTCCTGTAAACCTTTGGTTACCTCTAAATTTCCAGTATCTGGAAGAGAACATGCTGTGGCATCACCCACCCAGCCCCTCCTGCGTCCTACTCACTCACAAAGAATTTCCCCTTTGAGCGACTGTAACACTGGCTGCTGACTCATACCAGAGTCCTTAGGATTGGCTGGGACTGCAAATAAAACATTGTTTGCCTATAATGAGGTCAATAAGCTGCAACATAAAGGCTGGTTCCCAGTTTTAAAACAGAACATGAAGCGTCTGCTGTCTTCTTTCCTCTTATTATTTTCAGACAAGATCTGGAGAGCAAACATTCTCCCTGGCCAAAAGAAAAGGTCTTTGAAGGGAGGAAAAAAAAAAAAACACCCTAAAATGGGTCTACTGAGTTCTAAAAACCCCAAAACCAAGCAAGCCCAGATTCTTCTTCTGGGACTTGACTCAGCTGGGAAGTCTACGCTCCTTTACAAATTAAAGTTTGCTAAGGATATTACAACCGTCCCAACAGTAGGTTTCAATGTGGAGATGATCGAGTTGGAAAAGAGTTTTTCACTCACAGTCTGGGATGTTGGAGGACAGGAGAAAATGAGAACTGTGTGGGAGTATTACAGTGAGAACACCGATGGGCTGATGTATGTTGTGGATAGTACGGACAAGCAGCGACTGGAAGACTCCAGGAGAGAGCTGAAGCACATTTTGAAGAATGAACACATTAAAAATGTGCCTGTTGTCCTGTTAGCCAACAAACAGGATATGCCTGGAGCTCTGACTGCTGAGGACATCACCAGAATGTTCAGAGTGAAGCAGCTCTGCAGTGATCGGAACTGGTATGTACAGCCCTGCTGTGCCATCACTGGGGATGGACTGATGGACGGGTTCAGGAAACTGACTGAATTTGTGAAAAGCCACATGAAATCAAGAGGAGACACTTTAGCATTCTTTAGGTAGAACTGAGATCCAAGCAGTGACATACTGGTGAAGTTGAAAGGGTAACTTTTTTTCGATGCCAAATGAGAAAAGCAAGTTGCTGAGTTAGCAAACTTGTCCTAAGATGTTATTTCACCTAAATTCAGCTAAAACATAGAATAATATCTAGACAATATTATTTTTGGCCAGGCACTTTAGTTAACTATGTGGTAATGATAGTTGAGAATGAAAATTTTACAATTTTGTTTATGTTGGATTTATGTATGAATCAGAATAATCGTGTTTGGGACCAAATAAATTATTGCTTTATTGTTTTTATATGACGACTAGAACAAAGTTTAAGTAAACTGCTAATAAAGTCAGAATTCTTTCAGATGGTTTCCAGCTGTTACAGTATTGAATTTCTATCACACTCCTGTAGAATAGTTAGTAAAAAATAGAACTTTAAATTATGGAGAGGAAAAAGTTTGATGTTAACATAATTATCCCTATGACTTAAATGAAGATTTTTTCTGGATTCCTGCAAACTCTTAGAAATATATTGGTGGGAACTTCTGACAGTGAGTCAAATAAGGAACTTCAGGCTATTAATTGCCCAGAAACATAGGAAGACGTTTATCTCTTAAAGTTCTGGGGGTCAGGCGAGCTAGCACTTTAGAGTTTAGGGCGAGGTCTGGGTTTTACTCAGCTTGAGGTTATAGGCCCAAGATGGGCTTACATAGAATTCAATAGAATAGTCAGTACTTGGCAATATATGTACAGCTCACAGCACTGATCAAAAAGGAACCAGAGCCAGACTTTAAACTCAAGAGACTTTGCAATTCACAGGAGGAAACAACATAAAGCTAGTAGCTAGAATAGGGCAATAAGTACGTGCTATAACATGAGTGACTCTTTCTGACCTGGGAAAACAGGAAGTGTTTCATGCAGGAGGTAGTTTTTAAGATGGTCCCCAGCTCCTAGGGACCCATTAAGGTGGAGGTTAGTCACTGGAAGTTCCCATCACTAGAAGACCCTGAAGAACCATTATAGGGGAGGAGAAAAGGAATTGGGGTTTGAACTGAAATTCCCCTGAGAGGCTCAGAACTCCCAGGGAGGACCTGGTACTAACAAATGACACTTTCTTCCTGCCCAACCTCTAACAAAGCTCATTTGGGCTAGAAGAAGCAGGCCTCAAGCAGCTCCTCGGGCTCTAAATCTTAAGGTCACAGAGGAAAAGAAATGTTCAAGGGTGCTAGCCCCTGAATTCCTCTTATCATTTCCTTCTTTCACCCTAGCCGTGATCTTTAAAGCAAAGATCTGAGTGCTGCATGGTAGGGATTCAAATAAAAAGAGATACACACATGATAACAGTTATCATCGGTTGAATGCTTGTCTGTGCCAGGTGTTGTGTGATCACTTTGATACATCTCATTTAATGTTGACAACTGCCCTGAGAGAAATTATCATTATTATGTCAATTTTACAAAGGAGAGTACTGAGATCAAACAAGGTAACAATAACAACCACACAAAAACTACTCTGTTTTTTCACTGCGGAGTGGCAGAGCCAAGATTCAAACTCATCTGTCTAACTTCAAGGCCAGTACTGTTAATTGTCATAGTGTTCTGTAAATAAGGTATGGTGTCCGTCTTCTATGAGCTTACTATACATAATTAAGAATAAATCCAGGCTAGGGGCACCTGGCTGGCTCAGTTGGTGGAGCATACGACTCTTGATTTCTGGGTTGTAAGTTTGAGCCACACCGTGGGTATAGAGATTATTTTAAAAAATAATAAAATAAAATCTTTAGAAAAAAAGGAAAAAAGGCTTAATTAAAAATAAAACTACCATATGATCCAGCAATCCTACTACTGGGTATATGGCCAAAGGAAATGAAATCACTACCTTGAAGACACATCTGCACTTCCATGTTAATTGCAACATTATTCACAATAGTCAAAATGGGGAAACAACCTAAGCTTCTATCAATGGATTAACAGATGTATGGATAAAGAAAATGTGGTATGTATGCACGATGGAATCCTAGTCAGCCACAAAAAAGGGAAATTCTGATATTTGTGACAACATGGATGAAACTTGAGGACATTAGTTAAGTGAAATAAGGCAGACACAGAAAACAACTATTTTGTGATTTCACTTTTATGGGGAATCTTAAAAAACCAAACTCACAGAAACAGAAAGTAGATTAGTGGTTGACAGAAGTTGGGGATGGGGGAAGGGGGATTGGGGAGATGTTTGTAATGGGGCACAAACTTTCAATTATAAAATGAATAAATTCTGAGGATCTAATGTACAGCATGGGGACTATAGTTAATAAAACTGTACTGCATACTTAAATTTGCTAAGAGTATAAATCTTAAGCACTCTCATTTAGAAAAACGGAGGTTGTGTTAATTAACTCAGTCGTGGGAATTCTTTTACAATGTATATCAAATCACATTATGCACTTTAATATATCATTATATATGTAATACATATCACAATCTTATTTGTCAGTTACATCTCAATAAAGCTGGGGGAAAAATAAATGCAGGCCATCATATAATACTTTTATATTAAGAAGGTTCTTTGAGGGGCACCTGGTTCAGTGGGTTAAGCATTTGCCTCTGCTCAGGTCATAATCCCAGTCTCTTGAGATCAAGCCCCACATCAGGCTCTGTGCTCAGTAAGGTCTGCTTGAGATTCTCTCTCACTCCCTCTGCTCCTCCGTATCCACCCCCCCAAATAAATAAATAACATCTTTAAAAAAAAAAAAAAAAAAAAAAGAAGGTTCTCTGAAAAAACAAGCCAGACAGAATAAATTAAGTGTAATAACAGAGATCTAAGAACCAAGCCAAGGGACTGGCAAAAAAAGTTTCTGATTTCATTAAGATCTCAGTAGAGATCTTCAATGTTAAATGCTTGGTAGTAGTGTTTTTTCTAAGTTCCACAAAATTATGAAAACCACAAATATGTATCTTTTTAAAAAAACACATCCTCCCTTACCATTTTCCCTATGTGGTTAAAAAAAAACTTCTTAATAATCTTAAACTCAGGAATCACTAACCTATGTCCACAGAAAATGGCTGAATAGAAAACATCACCTGATGGTCCTCAGTATTTTGGTATTCTGAATTAAGTGAAGCCCTTGTGGCCTAGTCTCAGCATTATGTAAAATTCAGAAAAAACAATCCCCCCAAATATAAAAATTAATTAAAATTTCCCTTGAGAAAGCTCTAGCTGTATGTAGTGGGTATGCTGGGCAGATACATTCTTAATATAAGATCAAAAGTTACAAAGTAGCTTTTCCTCTGTCATTTCAATATCTTCCCCCAAGATAGGAGCTGTTCCTTAGAGTCTCTAGTAATCTTGTTTGAGAAACTTGAACATTTCCACGCTTTTTGCCTTTCTTCCCTGGGATTCAATCTATTTTCTTTCATCAGTCACTTGCTTTTTTCCCAATGTACATTTTACCAATCTTTCCTTTCTTTGGCATTTCCCTCCAGCTCTGCCTAGCGTGCTCCACTTACCTTTCAACACACATACAAACATATACTTATACACTCTTCATTCTGATCCACCTAATAAAGCCCAAAATTGAGGGTAGGGGAAAAGATGAGGTGCACAAAAGCAAAATATCCCTTGACAGGAGAGAGGAAAGAGGCTGTGAATATTCATGCCTTGATATTTATTATTGTCATTCATCTTATTCTATTATCTATATGTAACAAGGCAAAACTTTTACTTCATCAAAATCGTATACTGACAAGGATCTGTAACAAACAAAAGCGTATCACTTCTGAAATGTACCTTCCTTAAAGATGTAAAAATCTGAAAGGTAAATTTCAGTTAAATATTTTTATCTGATTTTCTAAGTATTCCCTGGTTTAAAAAAAAAAAAGTCCCAACAGAGCATAAGAATAAAGAATGACAAATAAATAAAGCAGCAGCAGTGACTAATATACCTTAAAATCGGTCTATTTAACAAGCTGAACATCACTATGTTCTGATGATAAACAATTTGTGTTCTGCCAAAACAGGGAAGACCAGGAATTTCAGACAGAGTCCTGAAGTACTTGTACCTTATGGGTGGCACTGGGGGATGGTCTACAGAGGCTTCAGTGTGTTGAGTATGTGAAGGAACAACCCAAGAAACAGTATTATCCATTGTGCTTCTCAAAGGGTTGGCCTGCTCTTGTATGCGTGAACTTTCCAGAGTGAAAGGGAGAATGAGAGAGACAAAATGAGAGAAAGAGAGCAAGAGAGGCAAAGGACAGACTTCTCCTTTGGTAGTGCTAATGAGTAGTTTAACATAATTTGGCATATGGTGTCACAGGGGTTTCAGTCCATCAGATGTTTAGCATAGTGTTTACTATTAATAAATTCAGCTACTTCAAACAGGAGAAAGTGCATTTTACCTTGAAAGTGCCACACAGATACAAAAGTGAGTTATTAGATGACTTAACCATGAGTAATATTTTCACAAACATTACCTCATTTTTTTTCTCAAAATCTTATGAGGCAGAACAAATATTGTCAACACCATTTTAAAGATATGAAGAACTGATTAAGCCATTATTGAGCCTTAGTCCTCTGATTTCCAAGATTTTTAAAAAAGTATAATTATTATCATACAATGAATTTAACAATAATGTGGCACATACACTTTCACCATCAAATTTCTTTGTTTCTATAAGTCAAATAGGACTGGCCAGAGTACTTCTTAGGCCAAAAACCCAGGAGCCATCCTCCCTTTTTCCTCATGTCTTACATCTATCTGCTAATTCTGTCAGCTCTCCCTTCAAAACACATCTTCCTTCTGGCCACTTCTCAGTCTCCATCACTACCACAGGCCACCACTGTTTCTCACCTGGGTGGCTACATTCTCCACAAGGGAGAGGTCTAAAAATGACCAACAGATCACTTCACTGCCCTGCCTTACAAACCTCTGTTCGCTTCTTACCTCATTATGGTACCTTCTTCCCGTTTCTCCCACCTCACTCCCAGGACAGCCACACTTCTCTCAACTTCTCTCTATCACTCCTAATTTGTTACAGCCTCCAGGCCCTTAAACTTGCTGTTTTCCCAGCTCAGAATATGCTTTCCTCAGGTCTTCAAATGGTTCAGAGCTTCAGAGCCTTCAAGTCTCCAGCCAAATATGCACAGGCATTCCCTGAATCCTTATCTAAATGAACCTCTTCATCCCTGTCCCTCCCTACCCCTCACCCTCCTTTATTATTTCACAAAGAATTTATCATGGACTTAAAGTACATCATTTACTCATTTACTTATGTCTCTTTCCCTCCCTAGATGGAAAAGTGCATGGGAGCAGGAAC